ATCTATCTATCTATCTATCTATCTATCTATCTATCTATCTATCTATCTATCTACTTGTGTGTGTGTGTAAGTGTGTGTGTGTGTGTGTGTGTGTGTGTGTGTGTGTGTGTGTGTATGCGCACATGCATGTGCACTAATCAGAAAACAACTTAAAATTTTTGGGAGTTGATTCTTTCCTTCTACCAAACTCAGGTTGCCAGACTTCGTGCCAAGTGCCTTCATCTGCTGAACCACGTAGGCAGCATTTGTGTTATTTCTGAGGGTGCCTCATGTGGCCCAGGCTGGTCTTGAGCTAACGGGATGACTCTTAACTGCTGACCCTTCTACGTCTACCTCTGGGATACTGGTAGAGTCAGCATAGAGCACTGGCCAGTTTGATGTGGTGGTGGAGACAGAACCCAGGGCTTTACATGTTCTATGCCAGCACTCTCCCAGTACTAGTACTAAATCACATTCTAGTACTAGATCACATTCCCAGACGCAGAAGTGCAGTTTTAGATGACTATCTCTAAATCAGGAGATTCTGATTTAAAATGCTACCTCACCATGCTGCTGAACAGCATATTCTACTTTCTCTATAGTAACCCCTGAGCAGTAAGTTGGTTCTCAAATACAATGCTAAGTGAGACTTTATACCTGCAGCAGCCATGTTTGGTGGGAGAGGCTGTCCAGTTGGAACATGGGAGATTGTCTGATGACTTTCATGTGGAGAAGCTAACACAGGGGGCTTCTTTAAAGCTTAAAAGAAAAAAAAAAAAATCCACATTATTCATTGTGATTTTTAAAAGCCAAACACCATGAATCAATTTATGTTGCAGTAATCCTACCTATGCTTATCCAAACTTTGTAATCCCTATCCTTGGCATATTACAAACCTCTTGTACGGTTATAACTGATACACTGTACTATCTAGTCTGTCTTGCTACCATGTTCTAAAAGCTCCTAGCACATAATACGCATTAAGCAAAGATTTTATGAATAAACAAACAAGTTATCTCTTCCAAAATAATGGCTTACAACCATGAGACCCTTTTAAATAAATAATTACAAGATTAAATAATTTAAAAACTACACTTGCAGATTAGGTAAAACATTAAGAATATGGTACCCTCAGTTGCTCAAAGTTGTTTTGTTTTGTTTTTAATTACATTTGTATTTACTTATGCTGTGTAGATGAGTATGTTGGGAACAGGGAGAGCCAAGATACCACAAAGTGACCTATGGGGACTGAACTCAGATCATCATGTTTATTGGCAGGTGCCTTTACCCACTGAGCCATACTGCTGAACCCTCAATTTAAGAAACAAAACAAAACATAAGTTTTACTTATTTATGTAAGACAGGGTCTCACACTGTAGCTTAGGTAGGATTGGAATTCAATATTCAGCCCAGGCTGGCCTCAAATATGTGGCTATCACTATTGTTCTCATGCTGAGAATACAGGCATGAGCTACCATGAAAAAAATATTTTTAATAATTCATTTAATTTTATGTGCATTAGTGTTAAAGAGTCAGATTCCTTCGAGTTGGCATTACAGACTGTTGTGAGCTGCCATGTGGGTGCTGGGAATTGAACCAGGGTCCTTTTAGAAGAACAGACAGTGATCTTAACCACTGAGCCATCTCCCTAGCCCCAGGTCTGGAATTTTTACTTTCTATTTCTTTCTTTCCTTCCTTCCTTCTTTCTTTCTTTTTTATTTATTTTCCTATTTGTTTATTTTTGGTTTTTCAAAACAGGGTTTCTCTGTGTAGCCCTGGCTGTTCTGAACTTACTTTGTAGACCAGGCTGGCCTCAAACTCACAGCGGTTCCCTTGCCTCTGCCTCCCTGAATGCTGGGACTACAGGTGGGCACCACCATGCCCATCTTACTTTGTATTACTTAAACATTTATTTGATTGTGTGTGTGTGTGTGTGCGCGCGCATGTCCATGTGTACCTGAGTGTATGTATGTGTACCATGTGCCTGTGGAGTTGAGCAGAGGGGTCAGCTCGCCGGAAATGGAGTTGTGAGTTGCCATGTGTGTGCTGAAACCTGAACCTGGTTTCTTTACAAGAGTAGTACATACTCTGAACCATCTCGTAGGCCCCTGGAATTTTTATATTTAAGATGGAAAATGCTATTTGTATAAAGAACTTTACTAGTAAGAAGGTATTTAGAGTTAGAAATTTCTTCTCTGTTAAGAAATGAAGAGCAGCTGGATGTGGTTGCGCACCTTTTTAATCCCAGCACTCTGGAGGCAGGGGCAGGCCGATCTCTGTGAGTTCAAGGCCAGCCTGGTCTACAGAGTGAGTGTAGGACAGCCAGGGCTAGACAGAGAAACCCTGTCTCAGGGAAAAGAAGAGATTATTTTTTACATATCACCACTCACTCCCATATGAATAGAAGAAGATGACAACAGAGCAGACAGTTGACAAGCAAACTAAAAAGAAAGAAAGCAAAAAGGAAAGAAAAAAAATAGAAGCTCCTACCTATGAAGACTGGCACATTTTATTTCTCAAAGATCGGTGTTGTAAATGTGACAGCATATGATCCTATTTTATATTTTTGCTGGATACAGAACCAGCTTTCCTTTGAGGTTATAGGACAAAACCCTTAATTCTGGCTTTGAAGAGATAGATAAAACTGAGTAGGTCACTGTTTGTTTTTGGAGACAGAGTTTCTCTGTAGCTCTGGTTGTCCTGGAACATGCTTTGTGGACCAGGCTGGCCTCAAACTGACAGAGATCCAACTGCCTCTGTTGTACTAAGTACTGGGTTTACAGGCATGGGCCAACATGCCTGGCTTGACATCAAATACATGTAAATGTCTCTTTCCCTGCTTCTACAACAGATAAGGCTAATATGAACATGGTATTATCATGACAGAAGCCACTGTTCATATGTTCAAAAAGAGCTTCCCACCCTACATCAAGCTTTAAGATGAATACTAAAGGCTTTGTCATTTTAGGCTGCTGCAATTTGAGGGTGTCTATTAAGAGATCACTTTATTGTCTATGCTGAATAGCATATATTACTTGCTTCATTTTTACAGTTTGCTTAAATGATTTTATGTCACTTATCATTACATAGTTTCTAAATTTAAGTAAACAAGAAGTCTGGCATTTACTCTGAGAAAACATCACTCACGTACACAGAGCAGGGTCTGCATCACTTTGTCGCCATTACACCTTGTTTCCACTGCCATCTGCAACACACTTCTACACACAAAGCAGCTGGTAACACCCACTAAAGCCCTTAAAGACTAGCACTTCACTAGAATCAACGGCGTGACTGTGACTTGGTAACAGACCCAGGGGCAGCTTTTTCCTGTCTATAAATCTGCTGGTCAATGCTGTCCTTAGCACATGCCATAAGAAAAAGGGAGGGTGATTCCTGGCCTTTTGGCTAAGATCAAGTACAGAAGACAGAGCATCTCCATTACTAAATAATAATCATTCATGTTAAGATTTATATTATAATGCCTCCTGCTCAAGAACAAGGCGACTTTAAAAATAAACTATGGCAAGCCTGGCTTGGCAGTGCATGCCCAGCACTGGGGAGCAGAGGCGGGCAGATCTCTGTGCGTTCAATAGCCTGGTCTATACAGTGAGTCCAACACAGCCAGAGCTATTAAAAAACCAAAAACCAAAACCAAACCCTATGGCTTAGATCAGTGTTTCTCAACCTGTGGGTCAGGACCTCTTTGGGGGTTGAATGGCCCTTTCACAGGGATTAAGGATCATAGGAAAACACAGATATTTACATTACGATTCATAATGGTAGTAAAATTACTGTTATGAAGTAGCAATGAAGATAAATAATTTTATCACTGTGGGTCATCACATGAGAGACTATATTAAAGGGTGGAAGAATTAGGAAAATTGAGAATCACCAGTTTAGACAGAAAGGTAAACAAGGCTGGATTAAACAAACAAAGCTTTATAAGACTCCCAGAGAAGCTGAGAAGTGATATAACAGCAGGTATTTTCATGTGTATGTGTCTCTCTTTCAATTGTTTTATACTTAACAAAAGCTTCATAAAATTTACATTAAAAAAGAAATCCTGGCAATTGGCCAGAGAGATGGTCCAATAGGTTAAGGCAACTGCCACCAAGCCTGACAACTGGAGTGTGATCCATCCCCCACAGGTTGTCCTCTGACCTTCACACATATACACACATAAACAAATAAATGTAATAAAAGGTTTGTTTTAAATTCTGGCAATTAATGGGCAGCATCAATCACATATCTCTAGGTTTTCTATATCCTATCAAAATAAATAAACAAAAAAAAAAAAAAAAAAAACGGAGAACAGAGTATGGTGGTACATGCCTGGAACCCCACCACTCAGGAAGCTGATGCAGGAAAAGTTCAAGACTAGCCTGTACTTCACAAAGTTCAAAGCCAGCAGTCTGTCTCCAAACAACAACACAGAAGAGAATGGGGCCACATAAAAACAACATAACCACTTCAGTTCAAGTCTCCTGTAACTTTCACGTACCAGCAGGAGCATCATCTGCTTTTGCTAGGTCATTCTCTTCTACTCCAGGCATCCCTGCGTCACCAACTCGCTTGACTTGCTCTGCCCAGGAGACAAAATAAGGTACAATTATGTTTCGAAGGAAAGTAAAAATCGGTTTCTAAAGCCACAGATCACAAGTGAATACCTTGTCTGGAATTTAGTTTTATTTCCTGCCCCGCCCCCAACACGAACTCTTTGTGCAGCCTTGGCTGTCCTGGAGCTCTGTAGACCAAGTTGGCCTCAAACTCACAGAGATACACCTGCCTCTGCCTCCCAGGATTACAGGCGTGCAACACTAAGACCTGAGACCTGCTCATTTTTTTCCTTTTCATAAAAAAAAAAAAAAAAATCACTGTCTTCAGCATGTGTGTGCATTATGTGTGCACATGTGGCAGGCAGCTCTTTTCTTCCACTGCAGAGGCAGGGTCTCTGTTGTGTGTGCTGCACACATACTAGACTAGCTGGCCTGATCCCTTCCAGAAGTCTGTTGCCACCTCCTACCTCATGGTAGGAGTTAGGGGTTGCAGATGTGTGCCATTAGGTGCAACTTCTTAATGTGGATGTGAGGAACTGAACTCTGGTTGACATACTTGCACAGCTAGTGCTTTTATCATCTGATCCAACTCCCCAGCCCTGATACAGTTTTAACTAAAATACCTAACTTTTTCTCCTCTATCCTAGAACCAAAAGTTTAAACAATATAGACATTAAATCATCTCAGAACTAATATCAAACAAGTTTTTAATGACTGAACATATTTCACAACAGGAAGAAATGGCCAATATTCTATCAACACAAAATAATAATATTACCTTTCCCATGTGCAATATGATTGCTTGAGGGTTCCTCATTCTTATTTGCATCATTTTCAGCAACACTTGGAATATTTTTTGGTGCTACATGATCCTTTATACCCAATTCTTTTCCATCATTTGATTGAATCTTGTGGGTCTCCTGTTGTTGGATAAAGATTTGGTAACAATAAGTATTTTTCAGCTTTGAATAATTAAAATCCTGATAAAACTATTAATGTGTGTGTATGTGCTCAAGCAGTACCAGGCATATGGAGTCAGAGGATAACTTGTGGAAGTCATTTCTTTCCTTCTATCATGTGGGAAGTGAGCCTGAAACTCGGGTCACCAGGCTTATTGACAAGTGCCCTAACCCACTGAACCATCTAAGGGCTACAAAAAGTATAATTTAAAAAAACAAGTTAACATAGATGTTTTCCTTCTAATGTTAAAACCTTTGTGTGAATGGATAAATTTTAAATAGTCTGCTTGCCCACCTGCCCTTTCCTCTTTTGAGACAAAGGTCACAGTTTATGCTGCCTAGAACTTCCTAGGTAAGATAGACCAGGCTAGCCACAAATGTATGGTGATTTTCTTGCCTTTGCCACCCAAGTGCTGGGATTATAGGTACAACATGTACCATGTAGCGTCTTCAATATAAGACAACTTTCTTAAGACAAAACCAATGTTTCTGTGGTTTAGTGAAGGGACTCCTTGTTGTTTCTAAGGAAACTTTTTATTATGAAATAATTTCATCTCTATCTACCTATCTATCTATCTATCTACCTATCTATCTATCTATCTATCTAACCAGAGAGGGACAAAAGCATGGGGACAGACTGACTTCACATGGTTGAGTGCAATAGGCCAGATGAAGTCTGGGGCTGATTTTATATCTATCTATCTATCTATCTATCTATCTATCTATCTATCTATCTAT